GGGAAGTGAGGCATGGGAGGGAAGTGAGGCATGGGAGGGAAGTGAGGCATGGGAGGGAAGTGAGGCATGGGAGGGAAGTGAGGCATGGGAGGGAAGTGAGGCATGGGAGGGAAGTGAGGCATGGGAGGGAAGTGAGGCATGGGAGGGAAGTGAGGCATGGGAGTGAGGCATGGGAGGGAAGTGAGGCATGGGAGGGAAGTGAGGCATGGGAGGGAAGTGAGGCATGGGAGGGAAGTGAGGCATGGGAGGGAAGTGAGGCATGGGAGGGAAGTGAGGCATGGGAGGGAAGTGAGGCATGGGAGGGAAGTGAGGCATGGGAGGGAAGTGAGGCATGGGAGGGAAGTGAGGCATGGGAGGGAAGTGAGGCATGGGAGGGAAGTGAGGCATGGGAGGGAAGTGAGGCATGGGAGGGAAGTGAGGCATGGGAGGGAAGTGAGGCATGGGAGGGAAGTGAGGCATGGGAGGGAAGTGAGGCATGGGAGGGAAGTGAGGCATGGGAGGGAAGTGAGGCATGGGAGGGAAGTGAGGCATGGGAGGGAAGTGAGGCATGGGAGGGAAGTGAGGCATGGGAGGGAAGTGAGGCATGGGAGGGAAGTGAGGCATGGGAGGGAAGTGAGGCATGGGAGGGAAGTGAGGCATGGGAGGGAAGTGAGGCATGGGAGGGAAGTGAGGCATGGGAGGGAAGTGAGGCATGGGAGGGAAGTGAGGCATGGGAGGGAAGTGAGGCATGGGAGGGAAGTGAGGCATGGGAGGGAAGTGAGGCATGGGAGGGAAGTGAGGCATGGGAGGGAAGTGAGGCATGGGAGGGAAGTGAGGCATGGGAGGGAAGTGAGGCATGGGAGGGAAGTGAGGCATGGGAGGGAAGTGAGGCATGGGAGGGAAGTGAGGCATGGGAGGGAAGTGAGGCATGGGAGGGAAGTGAGGCATGGGAGGGAAGTGAGGCATGGGAGGGAAGTGAGGCATGGGAGGGAAGTGAGGCATGGGAGGGAAGTGAGGCATGGGAGGGAAGTGAGGCATGGGAGGGAAGTGAGGCATGGGAGGAAGTGAGGCATGGGAGGGAAGTGAGGCATGGGAGGGAAGTGAGGCATGGGAGGGAAGTGAGGCATGGGAGGGAAGTGAGGCATGGGAGGGAAGTGAGGCATGGGAGGGAAGTGAGGCATGGGAGGGAAGTGAGGCATGGGAGGGAAGTGAGGCATGGGAGGGAAGTGAGGCATGGGAGGGAAGTGAGGCATGGGAGGGAAGTGAGGCATGGGAGGGAAGTGAGGCATGGGAGGGAAGTGAGGCATGGGAGGGAAGTGAGGCATGGGAGGGAAGTGAGGCATGGGAGGGAAGTGAGGCATGGGAGGGAAGTGAGGCATGGGAGGGAAGTGAGGCATGGGAGGGAAGTGAGGCATGGGAGGGAAGTGAGGCATGGGAGGGAAGTGAGGCATGGGAGGGAAGTGAGGCATGGGAGGGAAGTGAGGCATGGGAGGGAAGTGAGGCATGGGAGGGAAGTGAGGCATGGGAGGGAAGTGAGGCATGGGAGGGAAGTGAGGCATGGGAGGGAAGTGAGGCATGGGAGGGAAGTGAGGCATGGGAGGGAAGTGAGGCATGGGAGGGAAGTGAGGCATGGGAGGGAAGTGAGGCATGGGAGGGAAGTGAGGCATGGGAGGGAAGTGAGGCATGGGAGGGAAGTGAGGCATGGGAGGGAAGTGAGGCATGGGAGGGAAGTGAGGCATGGGAGGGAAGTGAGGCATGGGAGGGAAGTGAGGCATGGGAGGGAAGTGAGGCATGGGAGGGAAGTGAGGCATGGGAGGGAAGTGAGGCATGGGAGGGAAGTGAGGCATGGGAGGGAAGTGAGGCATGGGAGGGAAGTGAGGCATGGGAGGGAAGTGAGGCATGGGAGGGAAGTGAGGCATGGGAGGGAAGTGAGGCATGGGAGGGAAGTGAGGCATGGGAGGGAAGTGAGGCATGGGAGGGAAGTGAGGCATGGGAGGGAAGTGAGGCATGGGAGGGAAGTGAGGCATGGGAGGGAAGTGAGGCATGGGAGGGAAGTGAGGCATGGGAGGGAAGTGAGGCATGGGAGGGAAGTGAGGCATGGGAGGGAAGTGAGGCATGGGAGGGAAGTGAGGCATGGGAGGGAAGTGAGGCATGGGAGGGAAGTGAGGCATGGGAGGGAAGTGAGGCATGGGAGGGAAGTGAGGCATGGGAGGGAAGTGAGGCATGGGAGGGAAGTGAGGCATGGGAGGGAAGTGAGGCATGGGAGGGAAGTGAGGCATGGGAGGGAAGTGAGGCATGGGAGGGAAGTGAGGCATGGGAGGGAAGTGAGGCATGGGAGGGAAGTGAGGCATGGGAGGGAAGTGAGGCATGGGAGGGAAGTGAGGCATGGGAGGGAAGTGAGGCATGGGAGGGAAGTGAGGCATGGGAGGGAAGTGAGGCATGGGAGGGAAGTGAGGCATGGGAGGGAAGTGAGGCATGGGAGGGAAGTGAGGCATGGGAGGGAAGTGAGGCATGGGAGGGAAGTGAGGCATGGGAGGGAAGTGAGGCATGGGAGGGAAGTGAGGCATGGGAGGGAAGTGAGGCATGGGAGGGAAGTGAGGCATGGGAGGGAAGTGAGGCATGGGAGGGAAGTGAGGCATGGGAGGGAAGTGAGGCATGGGAGGGAAGTGAGGCATGGGAGGGAAGTGAGGCATGGGAGGGAAGTGAGGCATGGGAGGGAAGTGAGGCATGGGAGGGAAGTGAGGCATGGGAGGGAAGTGAGGCATGGGAGGGAAGTGAGGCATGGGAGGGAAGTGAGGCATGGGAGGGAAGTGAGGCATGGGAGGGAAGTGAGGCATGGGAGGGAAGTGAGGCATGGGAGGGAAGTGAGGCATGGGAGGGAAGTGAGGCATGGGAGGGAAGTGAGGCATGGGAGGGAAGTGAGGCATGGGAGGGAAGTGAGGCATGGGAGGGAAGTGAGGCATGGGAGGGAAGTGAGGCATGGGAGGGAAGTGAGGCATGGGAGGGAAGTGAGGCATGGGAGGGAAGTGAGGCATGGGAGGGAAGTGAGGCATGGGAGGGAAGTGAGGCATGGGAGGGAAGTGAGGCATGGGAGGGAAGTGAGGCATGGGAGGGAAGTGAGGCATGGGAGGGAAGTGAGGCATGGGAGGGAAGTGAGGCATGGGAGGGAAGTGAGGCATGGGAGGGAAGTGAGGCATGGGAGGGAAGTGAGGCATGGGAGGGAAGTGAGGCATGGGAGGGAAGTGAGGCATGGAGGGAAGTGAGGCATGGGAGGGAAGTGAGGCATGGGAGGGAAGTGAGGCATGGGAGGGAAGTGAGGCATGGGAGGGAAGTGAGGCATGGGAGGGAAGTGAGGCATGGGAGGGAAGTGAGGCATGGGAGGGAAGTGAGGCATGGGAGGGAAGTGAGGCATGGGAGGGAAGTGAGGCATGGGAGGGAAGTGAGGCATGGGAGGGAAGTGAGGCATGGGAGGGAAGTGAGGCATGGGAGGGAAGTGAGGCATGGGAGGAGTGAGGCATGGGAGGGAAAGTGAGGCATGGGAGGGAAGTGAGGCATGGGAGGGAAGTGAGGCATGGGAGGGAAGTGAGGCATGGGAGGGAAGTGAGGCATGGAGGGAAGTGAGGCATGGGAGGGAAGTGAGGCATGGGAGGGAAGTGAGGCATGGAGGAAGTGAGGCATGGGAGGGAAGTGAGGCATGGGAGGGAAGTGAGGCATGGGAGGGAAGTGAGGCATGGGAGGAAGTGAGGCATGGGAGGGAAGTGAGGCATGGGAGGGAAGTGAGGCATGGGCGGGAAGTGAGCATGGGAAGTGAGGCATGGGAGGGAAGTGAGGCATGGAGGAAGTGAGGCATGGGAGGGAAGTGAGGCATGGGAGGAAGTGAGGCATGGGAGGGAAGTGAGGCATGGGAGGGAAGTGAGGCATGGGAGGGAAGTGAGGCATGGGAGGGAAGTGAGGCATGGGAGGGAAGTGAGGCATGGAGGGAAGTGAGGCATGGGAGGGAAGTGAGGCATGGGAGGGAAGTGAGGCATGGGAGGGAAGTGAGGCATGGGAGGGAAGTGAGGCATGGGAGGGAAGTGACGGCATGGAGGGAAGTGAGGCATGCGGAGGGAAGTGAGGCATGGGAGGGAAGTGAGGCATGGGAGGGAAGTGAGGCATGGGAGGGAAGTGAGGCATGGGAGGGAAGTGAGGCCATGGGAGCGGCAGTGAGGCTATGGGGGAAGTGAGGCATGGGAGGGAAGTGAGGCATGGGGGGGAAGGGAGGCATGGGAGGGAAGTGAGGCCATGGGAGGGAAGTGAGGCATGGGAGGGAAGTGAGGGCATGGGTAGGGAAGTGAGGCATGGGAGGGAAAGTGAGGCATGGGAGGGAAGTGAGGCATGGAGGGAAGTGAGGCATGGGAGGGAAGTGAGGCATGGGAGGGAAGTGAGGCAGCATGGGAGGGAAGTGAGGCATGGGAGGGAGAAGCCGTGGAAAAGATGCTGGAGCGAAGTCGCATGCAGTGTGGCTGGCTGGCAAAGTGGAATGCAGAGTGACATGACATTGCTAGCTTGCAGGGCTGACAAGAAATGCCATCGTGCCTTTAACAGAATTAACATTTCTTGCATTGCCAGCGTGGCTGGCAAAGTGGAATGCAGAGTGACAATGACATTGCCAGCTTGCAGGATTAACAGTGTTTGCAGGGCGTACAGTGCTTGCAGGGCGTACGGTCTTGCAGGGCATACAGTGTTTGCAGGGCGTACAGTGCTCGCAGGGCATACAGTGTTCGCAGAACATACAGTGTTTTTTGGGGGCGTACAGTGTTCGCAGAACATACAGTGTTTTCTGGGGGCGTACAGTGTTCGCAGAACATAGAGTGTTTTTTGGGGGCGTACAGTGTTCGCAGAACATAGAGTGTTTTTGGGGGGCGTACAGTGTTCGCAGAACATACAGTGTTTTTTGGGGGCGTACAGTGTTCGCAGAACATACAATGTTTTTTGGGGGCGTACAGTGTTCGCAGAACATACAGTGTTTTTTGGGGGCGTACAGTGTTCGCAGGTTGGTGAGGGAGGAGAGCCAAGCCAGTCCGTCCAGAGTGCCGGTGAGCCTGCTGCCATCCAGTCCAATCGCTCTGACAAGATGCAGCCACACGTGGCATGCATGCAGCAATGGAACACGTGGCATGCATGCAGCAATGAAACACGTGGCATGCATGCAGCAATGAAACACGTGGCATGCATGCAGCAATGAAACACGTGGCATGCATGCAGCAATGGAACGCACGCAGGTGCACGTGGCACATTCAACGGAAAATGGGAACCGAAGGGAAAGGGGGTGCATTGAAGTGGTTTTTGAGGCGCCTCAAAAACCACTAAATGACTCCAGTCATGATGAGACATGGCTGAGAACAAGGATTGAGCAGGAAATCGAAGGGAAAGGGGGTGCAGCAAAATGAACCGCCCAACGTGGGCATTAGAAGGAAAAGGGGGCGCAGCGAAATGAAAGGGGACAACGGATGGGCGTAGTGGTTGGGTTGGGTCTAGTCCAACAGTGAACCGCCCTGGTTCAAAGCCATGGAGCCATGGACGGGCGGCACTAACAGGTGGGTGAGAACAGGATGGCGGGGTCCAGAGGAGTGAAGAAGGGCGGTGGATGGGCATAGTGAGGAAGCTGCTTTGGTTAGGAGCCATCATCCATGGAAGGGCGGCACTAACAGGTGGGTGAGAACAGGATCAGGGGTGCAGAGGAGTAAAGGGGAGCGAGCGGTGGATGGGAGCGGCACTAACAGGTGGGTGAGGCCGGTGAGGGTGGCGAGGGATGGAATGGGCCCCTCCAGACTCGTGAAGGTCAGATCGCTGTGGGATGGGATGGGATGGGATGGGATGGGATGGGATGGGATGGGATGGGATGGGATGGGATGGGATGGGATGGGATGGGATGGGATGGGATGGGATGGGATGGGATGGGAGGGGATGGGATGGGAGGGGATGGGAGGGGATGGGATGGGAGGGGAGGGGACGGGACGGGATGGGACGGGACGGGATGGGATGGGATGGGATGGGATGGGATGGGATGGGATGGGATGGGATGGGGATGGGATGGGATGGGATGGGATGGGATGGGATGGGATGGGATGGGATGGGATGGGATGGGATGGGATGGGATGGGAGGGGATGGGATGGGAGGGGATGGGAGGGGATGGGATGGGAGGGGAGGGGACGGGACGGGATGGGACGGGACGGGATGGGATGGGATGGGATGGGATGGGATGGGATGGGATGGGATGGGATGGGAGGGGATGGGATGGGATGGGATGGGATGGGATGGGATGCGATGGGAGGGCGCAGGAACAACAGTGGAGAAGGCAATGGGAAATCAAGAAAGAGCCTTGAGACCTATCATCTCATTGCAGGGAGGCGAGAGTGATGATGGAGGCGGGTATGAGCCAGTGGGGGGAAGAACGGAGCAAAAGTAGATGGCAAGCGAAGGAAAGGCATGGTGGAGGGAGAGGGTGGGTGGGTAGGAGGTGACGGACAGATATTGCAGGGAGGCGAGAGTGGTGATGGAGGCGGGTATGGAGCCAGTGGCTGGAAGATTCATTCGAGAGAAAGGTATGGTGAAAGGAGAGGATGGGTGGGTGGGACGGACAGGTATTGCCGGGATTCGAGAGCAGTGATGGATGGAGGCAGGTATGGAGCCAGTGGGGGGAGGATTCAGCTCAGCAAAAGCAAAAATGGATGCAAGGTGGATGTGGTGGAGGGAGGAGTTGGGTGGGTGGGTGGGTGAGTGAGTGGGTGGGTGGGTGAGTGAGTGGGTGGGTGGGTGGGTGGGTGGGTGGGTGGGTGGGTGGGTGGGTGAGTGAGTGGGTGGGTGGGTGAGTGAGTGGGTGGGTGGGTGGGTGGGTGGGTGGGTGGGTGGGGACGGACAGATATTGCAGAGTGGCGAGAGCAGTGATGGAAGCAGGTATGGAGCCAGTGGCCGGAGGATCCACTTCGACGAACTTCTTTGCATCCCTGCCACCAGCCAACACACGCATGCATGCACGCACGCATCACCACCTCCCATTCCTCCCCCACCTCCCACCCCAGTTCCCTTCCCCAGTATCCAGTTGTCCCCCATCCCACCACCCACATCCTCCACTTTCAACCCCTCCCCCTCCCGATCCGGAATGCGACTCAATCCATGCTCCCACATGCACATAGTAACATTCAGCCCATCCAGCCCACATCTCAGTACATGATTATTATTCCAAGCAGAGCAGGCAATGGAAGGGTGGAACATTGATACACAGTGAGTGCACGGAGAGTGCATAGGGCCAATGAGGGGTAACAGGGGATATACCGGGGGGCGATACGTTGCCTGGTGGCCTAGACTAGGCTGAGACTCACAGGGCAATGAGACTCACAGGGCGACGAGACTCACAGGGCAACGAGACCCACAGGGCGACGAGACTCACAGGGCGACGAGACTCACAGGGCGACGACGAGCCCGTTGGGGCTGCAAGAGACGCCATCCCATGCAGAGCACGCCGTGGTGGCGTTGCTGTTGCTTTCCCACACGCCCCACGCCTCCTTCAGCTGCAGCAGCACCTTCACTGCCGGCACAGGGGGGAAGCGGGAGGGGAGGAGGGTGAGGGGGGGGGCACGCCGTATTGGCGTTGCTGTTGTTTTTCCAAACGCCCCACGCCTCCTTCAGCTGCAGCAGCGCCTTCACTGGCGTCATAGCGGGGAAATGAAAGGCAGGCCTGGACGCGCCTGTCATAGCGGGGAAATGAAAGGCAGGCCTGGACGCGCCTGTCATAGCGGGGAAATGAAAGGCAGGCCTGGACGCGCCTGTGCGAGGTGACTTTTGAGTCGACTCAAAAAGTCACCTTCAGCTGCAGCAGCGGGGAGGCGCTGCCGTCATAGCGGGGCTGCTGCAGCTGAAGGAGGCGTGGGGAAATGGATGGCAGGCCTGGACGGGCGCACAGGCCCGTTTCTCCAGGCCTGGACAGGCCTGTGCGCTCGTGATACTCTGTCTGCCCATGAGAGCTCTAGCTCGGAATGGGAGGATATGTGGCTCGGGATGGGAGGATTTGTGTGGCTCGGGATGGGAGGATATGTGGCTCGGGTTGGGAGGATATGTGGCTCGGGTTGGGAGGATATGTGGCTCGGAATGGGAGGGCATGTGGCTCGGAATGGTAGGACATGTGGCTCGGAATGGGAGGACATGTGGCTCGGAATGGGAGGGCATGTGGCTCGGAATGGTTGGATACGTCGCTTGGGATGGGGGGTAGGTATGGGAAGCTCGCTATAAGCCTCAACTGGCTGAACGAGTTTGACCGACTCACATTGCGAGTCCGCTAGAACGACGGGCCTTGCAGCGCGCGCGTTTGACCGACTGGCTAGTTTGACCGAGTTTGACCGACTCACATTGCAAGTCCGCTAGAACGACGTGCCTTGCAGCGAGCGCGTCGGGCGCTCTGAAACCGAGCGCGGTCGCGCCGCGCTTTAAGAGCGATCGTCGCGCGCGGCTGGGTCGAGCGCGCGACAGCATGCGCTGCTCGTACGGACGTGCCGGGGCATCGCGGAGCGACAGCGGATAGCTAATACTATTGATAGTCGTATCGCTGGAAAGGGAGCACGCGGCGGCGCCGGCAGCGAGCGTGAGGGCCGCGAGAAGGAGAATGCAAGGTGCGACGTCATTTGCAGAACGCGACGCGGCGGGCTTGGGAAAGCGATTTTCCGGCGTGGTACTGCGCATGATTCAGACTCGTGGTGGTAGTAGTACTATGTAGCGTACTATGTACCGTGAGACAAGGAGAGTCAGCCGGCAGGTAATCATTTCTAGTAAAAGTTGGTAACTAGGGTAACCATAGGAGGAGGATTTCTGAAACGAAGAGGACCTTCCAAGATCGTGTTCGTACGAGTTGAAGAAGCGGGGCACCCCTTCGGTTCAGTTCGGTGCGAGTCAGTGAGCGCGGGTGCAAACTAGCCGCGCGCCTCGTCAGTCGAACGAAGACAAACGAAGCACCTGGTAGTCATGGTAGCAGTGAGACCCCAGGAGGGCACATTTGTGTGTGAGACTCGCAAAATTCTGGCCCATACAGGTTTCGAACCTGTGACCTTCGCGTTATTAGCACGACGCTCTAACCAACTGAGCTAATGGGCCACGATTAACCCTTGAATTAAAATACCTGAACTTTTAAAAGCTTTATAAATTGAGCCCTTGACTCTTATGTGGTTTATCCTCGGACGATGTTATTCCACTCGCGTTTCATTCCCCATCCTCTCCCTGCGTCGCTGCTGCAGCGGCGCGGAATCACTCGAGCTCTTGAGGGCGATTTCGCGGCGGCCGCGCGGAGCGGAGCGTCACGCGATGCCCGCGCGGACGATGCTGTATGCGCGCAAGCAGCGAATGAGCGGGTCGGCGCGAGGGGGGAAGCGATGGGGGACGCGAGGGGGAACGAGAGTGCGGGTGCAACGTGCGGCGATATCGACCGCCGCGAGATAAATCCGTTCGGCTCGTCGTGGAGTGGCGAGAACCGGAATCGCGTTTCAGTCTCGATCTCGCAATTCGGAGATCGCGTTTCGGTGAACCCCGCGGGTGATTCGGCTTCGCATGCTTCCATGCGACCAATAAATGCGGCCACAATGACGCCAGATGGAGGGGCAGCAGATGGCGCGGCGAGCATTGACGGGCGCTGCGACCCGCGGGGTGACGTCTTGACGATGGCGCCCGATGGTGGGGCAGCAGAGGGCGTCGCGACGCGGCCGGTTGATGCGTCGACGATGGCAGCAGAGGGCGCGGCGAGCATTGACGGTCGCTGCGACTCGCGGGACGACGACGGCGCCGGTTGGCGACGAGATGGCGAAGCGGCGAAGCGGGCGAACTCGCTGTCTGTTGCCCTGCGAAACGCGGCGACTGTTGAGGTGAGTGCAGGACGGGATGGAAAGCTGGTAACTTTAACGTGTGAGGTGCAGTGCAGCGAGGGGACAGTGAGGGGAGCAGCGAGGGGAGCAGGGAGGGGAGCTTGTGAGGTAGTGCTGCTATGCCTCACTCTTATCTCATTTACGGATCCCATCTCCCTCCCTCTGCTCCCGTTCCCCTCACTGTCCCCTCCCTCCCCTTTTCCACCACCCCACTACCTCCCTTCTCCCCGCCATTTTCCCCCGTCCGCCCTACCTCCCCTACCTCCCTCCACCTTTCCCCAGCCTCCCTCCCGCCTCCCTCCTCACGCACATCTTGTCTTCCCTTGCTCCGCTTCTCACTTCCTTCCCAATGCTCCCAATGCCCCTCCCCCACCACTGCCCCCGATACCCTCAATTCCCCCTTTGCCCGCAATGCCTCCAATGCCCCCAATTCCCCCAGTGCTCCCACTGCGCCCTTTGCCCCCTCTCTCCTTCGCTCGCATATCAATCCTTCCGCTCCAGCCTCTTTCTTCTCCACACTTCCTTCCCTCACCCTCTTCCATGTCCATCACCCTTACCCCCCACTCCCCACCCGCCACCACATGCCATGTCAGCAGCATCTGGACTTAACTGCCAGTGACGATCTGCAATGCACGAACCTTATGTGCCCCAAGGTGAGGTGCGGTGGGGCGAGATGGGGCGAGGTGGGGCGAGGTAGGGCGATGTGGCGAGTGGGTGGTCTGTGCTGCACCAACCTCATGTGCCCCAAGGTGAGGCGAGGTGACATAAGGTGGGGCGGAGGGGTTATTTGGTGAGGGGCAGTGACGACCTGCGCTGCACCAACCTCAGATGCCTTCAGGTGAGGTGCGGTGAGGCGAGGTGGGGCGAGTTGGGGCGAGGTGGGGCGAGGTGGGGCGAGGTGGGGCGGACAAGGTGGGGCGGGTGAGAGACAAGGTGAGGATTTGCGCTGCACCAACCCTCCTATCCACTCTCTTTCTCTCCATCCCCTCCTCACCAGGTCACGGAGCCCTGCATATGTCGCTTGGGCGTTGCCCTCTCCCGTTTGCCGCGCCTCACCTCTCTCACTCTCGCGCACAACGGGTGAGAACACTTCTGAGGCGCCTGCTCAGTCGCTAACCGTGCCTGGTTTAGTGGTTCAGATACCGCCTGCTCAAAAGTGTTCCCATTCACCACCCTGCGCCATCTCGACCTCTCCCACAACCGCCTCTCCTATGAATGACCCACCTGTCCCTTCTGTCCTCCCTACCCCCTCTCCCACAACCGTCTCTCCCAATTCCCTCCCTTTGCAGCCTGGAAGCTCTCCCTGAATCGCTCTCCTCCCTCACCTCCCTCCGCCATCTAGACCTCTCCCACAACCGCCTCTCCTCCCCTCCCTTCGACCTCACCTCCGCCCTTCCACACCTGAAGTGAGTGATGCGTATAGAGGGCAGGAGGGCATGTAACACACTCATTGCATGCCACACCTCTCCCACAACCGCCTCTCCACCTCACTTCCGCCCTCCCACACCTCACGTGAGTGCGTCAAACAGAGAGCATGAACAATCAGTACCACACCACACTCACTGGGTTGGTTGCACACCTCTCCCACAACCGCCTCTCCTCTCCACCTCACGTCCGCCCTTCCACACCTCAAGTGAGTCATACTGAAGAGGACACGATCAAATATTACCCATTGCATTTCACATCCCATTGCATTTCACATCCCATTGCATTTCACATCCCATTGCATTTCACACCCCATTGCATTTCACACCCCATTGCATTTCACATCCCATTGCATTTCACACCCCATTGCATGCCATGCCTCTTCTCTCCCACAACCTCTCACTTCGGCACCTTTAATAAGTGAGCGAGTCCTTGATTTAGGGCACGAGCAAATATGCATTGCACCTCCCTCTCACAACCATCTCTCAACACCACATTACCACCTCACAACATCCCTTGTGCAACTGCTATATGTCTCTGCATGTGTGTAATTTTCTTTGATGCACTTCAGATTCTAGAATGGTCCCTTTGGGCATCGTTCTACATCATCCCATGCACTCTCCCTATGACTCTCACCCCTCCCATCCCATACACTCTCAACATGCTATTCACCCCTTTCGTCCCATGCATGCCCCACTATCCCACGACAGGTCTCTCGTCCTTTCTGGCAACCCCTGTGCCCCATCCACACCATCACATGCCCCCCCTCTGCAAAAATCCAATGAAGATCAATGATCACAGCTATGCGTCGCTTGCTCATCCTTGTCAGTAGCTTGCATGCATTATGTTTTATGTTTCCCTGGCTTGTTGTCTCGTCCTACTATTAGGGTACATTCCGCTCTGGACATGTCCCAATCGTACATGTCCCAATCGATTCCACCGCTCCGAACCAAACTAAACCAGAGACGCGAAAATTTTGACAATGTTTGAAACTAGGGTGTAATTCGGTGTAATAAGATGCAGAGCGGTGGAATCGATTGGGACATGTCCAGAGCGGAATGTACCCTTATACGGCACTTGGTCAATAATTGCCACAATCGTTCCAAGTTCCAACAAGGACAAACCACCAGAGTGCCCTGGACTTGGTGCCACTGCTACTGCATTCCTGTGCATAACGCCCTAGTGCTCTGGCCTTGTAAGTGCTTCATGTACTCAGCTGGGAAGACGGGTCTGGTCCTCAGAACTGCAAAGCTGGCCAGTGCCACTGCTGCAACTTCCACCCTCCAGGGCTGCGGCGGAACTCTCCTCAGGCTGTTCCTGCAGTGACTGGCTGGTGGTGCTTGTGTCCTCATGTGCTTGTGTCATGCTGCTCCATGCATTCAGCCAGAATGAACATGCTCTTAATGGCTAGAGGAAATTGGGTTGGGGTTCATGCTAGGTCACACAGGTGTGTTCTTGTACTGA